GTACTTTGATACGGATCGGCTTCCACCTCGCTCCGCAGCACCTCCAATTCCCACTCCATTGAGCATCCGGACGGTTTTCATTTTCGATGGAATTGTCGTCCGACGCGAACTTTCATGTGCCACTTGTGAAACGTGCATCTAGCAGGAGCACCCTTCCTGTAAACTTCCTTAATACGTTATCGATCTCCGCGGGTTCTTGGCCAGATAAAAAAAAAGAAATAGGACGGTGTTGCGTAGGTGAAGTTGCGACGGCTTAAAATCATGGGGCATGGTTGCAGGAAAGGGAACTGTTAAGTGTGTTCGTTAGCATGTATTTTGAGGAGCTTTTTGTACTCAATCTAACAATGCCACGCGCATCCATTTTCGTCTCCTCTTTTCTGAGTTATGATCTCTAGAAGTCATGGCTATCGTTTTGTCCGAGGACTTATGACTCAATCTAATATGTGTGTAGTATGTGGCCTATATATGACTTGCGGTGGCCAGCCGGTGTATAGTCGGTACTGTTATCCTGCCAGACGAGTCTCTACCAATTAACTAATAACGCAGTCATAAGCAAGTATAACAAATTGAAGTCAGTGGGGCATGTAAAAAACCCTAGGTGCGTCTCCACCCACAAGCCACGCGGTGCCTCCACTGCACCCGCTCTGACAGTTATCTTTTATCTACTCCATCGGTTCTTTTGGTTACTACCTTACTCATGGAAGCCGGTTCACAACTTCCACGAATCTGTTGCTACCAAGGTGCGATGTTTATAGGCCTAACCAGGTGGGGTTTCTTATGCCCAACGACGTGCACCGCTGGCCCTACTGCTTGTGCGTGCCCTTGCAATTCAAGAACCAAATTCAATGGTTGTAGTGCTTGATGCTCGTCCATACTACCATCTATGACTGAGCAATGGAGCTGTACAACCCCGTGATGAAAAGGTATAGAGATTGCTACTGGTAAAAAGATACATGGTTTGGTTTCCCACACAAAAAAGCAGGACCGGCGCCATCTTCTGTGCTGTATAAACTCAATTTTGGACCCTGGAGGGAAATGATGAAGCCTACACTTGAAGTAGTAGAAACTTTTTTCAGTTTTATGTAAAAATTGGAAAAACCGATTTTACTTGCCTTCTGAAAATAAAACCATCTACAGGAAGCAAATAGGCTGCGATCGATGTCATAGAGAAGGTTGTGAAATCGAAGAAAAAGCAGGGGAAGACCTTCAAGTGAGCGATNTGAGCGATTTCGTATTTGTATATCTTGGCCGAGTAAATCTTGTTTTGTAGATGAGATTTCTTCATCCTAGTAGTGAGTAGTCCTGTAAGGGAGCGGTTAAGTTACATCTGAGTAACATGGTTCCAGGCTTACTACCAATGCCCTCATGGCTTACTTCCGTTGAACGACACCACCGAAGAATGCCACTGTCAGAGCCCAATGCTTGCCATACACTTAGGTCAGTTGACAACACGATCTACGATCCCAAGAGTAGGAGCGTCATATTTTTGAAGGGCTACAATCTGAGTCACAGCTTCTTCAGGTTCGGCCTACCCACCCAAACGACCAGATGAACCGACCGATCTCAGACCACGTAGCAGTACTTCACCAACCCGTCGGAAGAATTAATCGAATAAAGATTGATTTTATTTAATTAAACAAATGATAAATTGCTAATTATATTGATTTGTTGGGCAGATGGTCTTTACGAAACAAGCTCGCTGTTCCAGAAGCAAATGATGGATGAAGGTTAAGTGGTTCCCAGTTGACGCATGCTATCTTACTGCTGAGCTATACATTCCTGGCCCTCAACGCTTTCGTAACCGCTTGTATCGCCGAGTATGTACACTGAAATTTAGCAATCAAATACTTCACTGAGCCGAAGGTGGTCGAAATTAAGTAGTCATGGAGTGGAGGAAGTTTAGTATAAATAAGCATTAATGGAGCAATTTCATTTCTGAAGGTCTGATCTCTTAGCCATGAAGGATCGCCTGACAGAATCTTTCTCTTCATCTTTTTGCCACTGTGACATGTGTCAGTGTGGAACTGACTTGAATGCTTTTCTGTTCGAAAAAAGTACCAGGTGAGGGAAACTGAAGGAATTATTCAAAATTTTCGGGGGACTTTTTATAGTAATTTACAATTTTAAGTAAAATAAAAAAGGGCGGGTAAAGAAAGGCGTTGGTCTTAAGGCTTGATTGACTTTCGAGTTGTTTTAAGGAGTACGATCCAATGGCACACCCCAACAATCTGCCTCATCGCCTTGCATATCAATGGACTACTGCAGTGCTTTTTCAACAACTTTTAGAAGCAGATGTTCATGAGTGGGATCGAAATGGGCCCATCAAAGCCCAAGCTGGTGGACTTTGTGTCCCAGGTCAAATACCGAATACAAAACCAAATACCGTAATAGCTTATTTTTCCGGAAGCAGTTGTTTTTACGTCGTCAAGGAAGCCATTGGAGTATCAAATCGAACTTACTAATTTGCTAGCATTTTCTAAAGAGCTTTACGATAAATGGTGGTTCTAGGTGATCCTAATTCACACTTTGTACGGTCAGCTCGCACTAGTTTCGAGTATTCTCTATTTTCGCTTCCCACTTACACTCGATGGAAAAAAGGAGTCGAGCCTAATTGGATTTAAGTGGCCGTGGACCAATATTGTTTCTTTTTCTAAAATGGAAATGAATTTCCATGTGGCTCAAAATTCAAATTGACTGTAAAAAACTTATGGGAATGATTTTGGTCCGCGTCCATACAAATTCAATTAGGCCCGGTGCGTTTAATTTCTCCATCAACCCGTCCTGTGAAAGACAGATGAATGGATCGTCTACAATCAGCGAGAAAAAAAGTCAGCTATTTCTACCTTTATTGTCCTGCTTGTTGCTGGAGTAACTGCATTTCATCTTCCCCTCCATCTTCATCCGCATCACCTCCCCCTCTTCCTAAGCGGCTATAAGGAGAAGGAGGTTAATATTATGTTCTACGTGATTGCGTTCCTTGATTGCTCTCCATGCTATGCCAATAGTGCAAACTATAAATGCTCCATAAATCTAACCCTCATAGCAACCTGAAGCTTACAATTTACAAAAATTTTTCATTTGACAAAATCAAAGATGAGATCCTTTCACAGCAACTAACACTAATTTCCTTGGAGTCCGTGAAAAAGGAGTTCATCCAACTACACTGCAAGCTGATTGCCTCTTGACCCACACTCCTTCCAGTTTTGGGCAGACCGGGCTCAGGGAATACATATTATTCCTTAGCCTGTTCTGCCCTGGGTACTCGCCCAGGGCCCTTATAAATAGAATCATTGAAACGGCAAACTATTCAGAATAGCTCACAATGTTAACGATTCAAGGACAAAACTTCAGTTTCGGACGGAACTCGAACCCGTACTTCTGCTTATCGTGCAACCCTCTTCTCAGTTCGTCCATTGAGTATCGTCGCACGCTACCAGCCACTACGAATATGGGAGAGTGGGGCTGATGACCTCTTTCCCCTCCCGTCACTACAGTCTCTCTCTTATTTTTGCTACTAAAGATGGNGCAAACTATTCTGAATAACTCACAATGTTAACGATTCAAGGACAAAACTTCAGTTTCGGACGGAACTCGAACCCGTACTTCTGCTTATCGTGCAACCCTCTTCTCAGTTCGTCCATTGAGTATCGTCGCAAGCTACCAGCCACTACGAATATGGGAGAGGGGGGCTGATGACCTCTTTCCCCTCCCGTCACTACAGTCTCTCTCTTATTTTTGCTACTAAAGATGGGCGGCCATTTTTAGTAGCAAAAATAAGAGAGAATCTGTAGTGACGGGTGGGTAAAGAGGTTATCAGCAAGAGGATTATACGGGTGATGTGGTTGGATAAGAAATGTTGCCAACAAAGCTTTCTGTTATTCCCCTATCTCCTTGTCGTACTTCCTCCCAAGCAACAATGTTGAGTGCCTTACTTACGGCTCATTGAAGGACTCTATCAGTCTCTTGCTCGCTTTTTAAAGATCTGCTGTTACCTGGCTTCGATTTTCCACCTACATATAGATACCTCTCTGATACTCTTTTCGGCGACTATTGACTCAAGCTGAGCACAGCGTTTGAGTAGTGAAAGATCACCCAGTGAAAGTCGAATGAAAAAGCTTCCATGAACAAAAATTATCGAAACGTCTCTAACAGTAAAACCAACCACTAAAAAGCTGCATTTAAAAATGACAACAATGGATTCAAGGGCTGGAACTCAGTATACGGGTGGCAGACGCATTCAGAACTCTACAATGATTCTGAGTCGAAGTCGAATGCGAGGTCGCATTCGTAAACAGGACTGATTTACCCGGAAAGGCGTTAAAGCCTAATCTCTGCTAGGGCTGCATCTTAACTCTGAAGCAGGGTTGCTCTGGAAATTGACAACTTTCCCAACCTCCTGTACACGAGACTCGTTTTTGTCTTCAAGGTCGGATTATCTTCGAAGGCCTTTCTAAGATTATCTAGCATTGTATTCTCCACAGTTTTGATAGAGGAAAAAAGAGGACCGATGGGGACTGTATTTCTATGGAATCGGTTCATCAGTTGACCTGATTGGGGTTTGTTTTTTGATGTAAATAAGAGGTTCAACAATGTTTGTAATTTGGAGTGCTTTCTATGGCAGCACGACATGCCCTCTCACTCACACACCCCTTCCTCTACCTAGTAACAAGCAGCCGAACCCAGAGTGATGTGAACATTGGTCTGCCTGAGGGAGTACCGATCCTGGATTTGATCCCTGGTCCATGGGCATGTTATAGCGCGGTGCTTGCTACCACACCTTGACCGTACCTGAACCCTATAAATTAGCCCCTGCACACTATTTTTTTATTCGTATAATGGGACCTTTCGAATCGTTATACCTACCGTAGAGCCAATTAGACTTAATTGACACTTAATGTTGCCACNAGCAGCCGAACCCAGAGTGATGTGAACATTGGTCTGCCTGAGGGAGTACCGATCCTGGATTTGATCCCTGGTCCATGGGCATTTTACAGCGCTCTGCTTGCTACCACACCTTGACCATACTTGGACCCTATAAATTAGCACCTGCACACTATCTTGTTATTCGTATAATGGGATCTTTCGAATCGTTATACCTACCGTAGAGCCAATTAGACTTAATTGACACTTAATGTTGCCACGGAACTTTTGCCATGCCAACCCAGCAGCCCACCTTGGTCGGACATTACAAGATATTTTCACGTCATGTTTCCTCTAGAGAGCTCTGTTCTAATAATAATCGAACGTTTTCTCATACTGGCAGCCAGTTTCACGAAACACACGACTTTGCTGGCCAAGCTATTGTTTTGACTAATTTCAAAGTTAGCGCGTTTTCAACCAATTGTTAATACACAAAGTTTGTGAAACCTCTGCCAACGTGTCTCTGCTATTACACCATGTTTTTACCCAGCATACTCAGAAGTCCCTTTTTGCAAGCAGGAGCTACATGATTCCATTAATTTCCCCCTTATTACCACAGAATTTTAACCTTATCTGAATATAACATTTTCTGAAGCTTGAACTGGGAGGAATACAGAAAATGGAGCAATCGAGTCACTTCAAATACTGAATAACTGTATAGGACGTGGCGCATCCCTGACGTTTGAGCCCATCCATTAAATTCGAAATTTTTACCAATATTTATGCATCAGCCTAAGAATTGAGCCAAATCGGAGAAGATCTATTGTGACCGAGTGAAAAGCAGATCCTGTGATATTTTCCCATTAATTCACTGAATCCAGTGTTTATGGATCTATATTCGAAAGTGAAAGACGATTCAAGGGGCAAGAATTCTCAGGCCTAGCCAGTCAGCAAAATCCTACCCAGGTTTTCCATCAGACCGATCCTGTACCGGTGTACCAAATTCGTGTGAGAGATGAGTAGTACATTGGTATTAGGTCGGTAAGCTTAGTACACTTCACTGCTGTGAGCGGGCCCTGAAAATCAGCAGTAATTTCGCGCCATTTCGCGCCATTTCGACAACTTCTCACTAACCAGCTCGGACTATTCCATACGGCATGAACTTGGAAGAAGCATAAGGTGATTCGTCCTGATCTGAAGTTTTAATTCCTTTGAGCAGAATTCGAATTCGTTTCAATGAGAGCGCACCTATACGTATCAAAGACCACTCGGGAAAGCCCTAAACTGTAAACGATCTTGGGAATGCTTGCAGGAGATTCTATCCTGCAGAATCTCGAAACGAGTAACATGGGGGTGCTCCAAAATTGATTGCTGTTTACCAGCTGAAATAGACTCATAATTATATTTTTCACCTGCTTTTACCCAACAATAAGTTATGGTATCTAGGCAACAGAAATTGTCCAATCAAACAAATCTTTGGGCTCAAGTAATTCAATAAACTAGTAACCGGCTAGATGTTAGACTTACCTACAGCTACTGAGTTCGAACCGGCTTGGCTCTTTAACTTGAGCGAATCTATCGTTATGATGCTGGGCAGCCTAGCGACTTGACATTTTCACTTGTACCTAGAAATTAGCTGAGTTCTTCAAGTGAGCTCCCTTTCGATAAGTGCACTCCAAGTAATTTCTAAATATCGCGACCCACATATAGCTCAGTTCTTCCTGAATCGTTCTCTCTCTTTGTGAGT